CTATATGCCACCGTACACAACACGGAAAGAGGCGCGTCAGCCGTACACGGGCCGGGGAGTCTCTCCTGGGGAGCAGCAACTCTGAAGCAGATTTGGGGGGCGGGGAGGGTAATCAGCGGAACGTGAGCTCCCGGGGCGACGCTGTGACCAGAAGGGCGAATGCCATCCCGGGCTGCGTAAGCGGGAATCTCGCGTAGGGGCAGAGAGGCGATTTCACTGCTGGATCGGGCCCAGACGCTGCCCACAGTTCCGGCCGGAGGGTGATTCCATCGCAGAGGGGTCAGAGAGGAGCCAGGAGAAGGATTAAAAACCCTGCCTGCGAGTGAGAGACTCCAGGAGCTCAGTTAGCGTAACGAAGAGGCGGCGAAGGGGTGACGGATCCCGGGCTGTAAGTACCGACGCGGGGAGCGAATGTTTCACTAGCAGAGGCAGGTCTAACCCGGTCGAGGGCCGGGAGTTGGAACCAGACGAATTCGGACTGGAAACAAGATGGAAAACGTCTAACAGTGAGGGGGGCTTGTCCCCATGGGCCCGTCTGAGCTGGGGAAGGGCGGTGAGGCCAGGCAGCGTAGATTCGCCACGGGGTTAAGGCAGCTAGTGGCGGCTGGGATGAACCAGGCTGGAGTCGGACTTTCCTGGCAGAAGCAATGACGCTTGTTTTCTGTGGCCTCCAGGAGGCCTGTCTCGGTTTGGCTCCATGTGGTCGTGGCCGGGGCACCAGCAGGGCTTCAAAGCCCATCTGCTCACGTCCAGGCCTGCAGCCCCTACCGCTCATTATGAGTTAATTGTCTGTGTACCTCTGGGGTCATTTCCAGAGCCAGGCAGCCGACGGGGTGACCTCCATCGATGTCTCCCTCCCAGGGGGGGTCTTCACTCCCATGCACCCGCTGGGTGGTAATGCATAATAAATTGGGGAAACTGAGTCACACGGCTAGTTCACTTGGAAATTTCTGCAATCCCTGCGTTCTCTACGCCTAACATCTTATCTCCCCTTTTGGATGGCAGCTGCCCCACCTTCCCGTTTCTCAGAAACACCCAGTCCACCCAGATATCCGTGTCATTCCTTATAATTATAGGCCTGTTTGTCTGAAACAGATCCAGGGCGAGATAATGGAGCGGCTGATATGGGGACTGAATTAATAAACAATTAAGAGGGCGTAATGCAATGAATTCCACTGTCACGTTATTGACATGAACTGGGACCATATAGATCATTGTTGCAAACAAGGTCCTGGAGTGGCACCAAATCTTGTATAAAGGGGGTCAAATAAGATGTCTAAGACCAGGCTATGGGTTGCTGGTTATGATTATGCTGGCTGGGTGCATGGATCATTTTTGTAGTTGAAGTTATGAATATTGTATTTCTATCTGTGTTTACCGCTTGTGCTCTGCTTCCGGGTGACACCCCAGACAAGTTGGTGTCAGCTCTGCCTAGCCTGCTTGATGGCCCATTAAGGCCCATCAGCTACACAACTGCCCCATTGAGAGAAGG